GGATGGTATTTCCACCAGCTCTGGCGCGTTTTAGAGTAAAAGAAGATATTACAAGAGTAGCGCTATAAAATCACAGAATCAATTAGGCTGGAAAGGACCTCTGGGATCACCAAGTCCAACCTGTGACTGAACACCACAATGTCAACTAGACCATAGCAGTAAGTGCCACATCCAGTCTTTCCTTAAACACCTCCAATCAGGGTGACTCCAACCCCTCCCTGGGTCGCCCCTTCCAATATCTAATCACTCCTTCTGTGAAGAATTTCTTCCTAATGAACAACCTAAACCTGCCCTGGTGCAGCTTAAGACTATGTTCTCTCATCCTGTCCCTAGTTGCCCAGGAGAAGAGGCCGACCCCCACCTGGCTACAGTCACCTTTCAGGTAGCTGTAGAGAGCGATAAGGTCACCCCTGAGCCTCCTATTCTCCAGGTTAAACAACCCCAGCTCCCTCAGCTACTCCTCATTGGACTTGTGCTCCAGACCCTTCACCAGCTTCACTGCTCTTCTCCAGACCCGCTCCAGTAGTGTCCTTCCTGAATTGAGGCGCCCAGAACTGGACACAGTACTCGAGGTATGGCGTCACCAGTGCTCAGTACAGGGGAAGTGCAGAGTACAGGGGCAAATGATATATCTGAACTAGAAATAGCAGCTTAGAAGCAAATCACACTCACAAATAAAGAGTTTGCTCAGAAACGCCTGGAGAGGCGAAGGACGTGAAAAGTTTTAAATACCGGGAGCAATAAATGGTAAATTCCTAGGAGTTTTTACCAGCTGTCAATTAAACGAGCCGGGAAGGCAGCCCCAAAACTGGCCCGGCGCTCCAAGCTCCCTCCTCCCCGGCCAAGCCAGCCCCGCCCGGCAGTGGCTGCGCCGGGCGCGGGGGAGCCCGCACGGAGGCGCGGAGCGGTGCCGGGAGGCCGCACCCGCCCGCGAAGCCCTGCCCGGCCAGGCCCTGCCCGCGCCGAGCGGAGGCGGAAGCCGCAGCCGCGCCGATGAGCTGTGCGCGCTGGGCGGGGGGTGTGCGGAGCCCCGCGCTGTGCCGAGGTAAGAGCAGAGCGCGGAGCTGGCCCTGCCTTGCCCCCCGGGAGGATGTGGGGACGGGGCGCTGTCGCCGCCCTGGCCGCGCTGGCCGTGGCGCTCTGGCTGCGGCGTGACGAAGGTACAAACATGCGGAGAGCGAAACCCGAGCGAAGGGGCGGCAGCGGCTCCCGGCGCGATGCAGCCCACCCTCGCCTGCCGCGGGGGCCGGCCGGGCCGCTCACCTGCCGGGCGGAGGGACGGCCGGGGGCGGGGGAAGCGCTCACAGACCCGACCCCCAGCACCGCCGCAGGGGCGGCCGCGGACAGCGGCTGCCGGGTCCCCGCGGGCCTGCGGGCGGCGCCGGCTGCAGCGCGGTGCTGTGGCGGCCTGCAGGGGCAGCGCTGCCGCACTGTGTGTGCGCCGGTGCGGGTGCGGGAGGGAGCCGGCCCGCCCCGGCTGGGTGACACGGCGGGCAGGGCGCAGCGATGTCGCTGCCCGCGCTGGCGCGGCGCGGCCCGGCGCGCCGGTGTGCGGGGGTGAGGTAGGCGCCGAGCTGCAGCGCCCTGTGTGTGTATGTGTGTGTGTGTGCAGGGATCGCGCTCCACTGCGGCCGAGAGGGAGGGAAGAGGAGGAGGAAGGGAGGGAGGCAGGCGCACTGTGATGAGCGGGGCCTCCAAGTCCAGCCAGCGCCGTCGTCCTGCCGCTCTCGGCGGAGCCAGGGGCGGGGGAGCGGCCGCTCCCGGATGCTTGCCTGAGCGAGGGGGAGGAAGGGGGCCGCGGCTCCGCGCCGGGAGCCCGGCTGTTATTTTTTATTTATCCTCATCGGTTTTGGAGGGGGCGAGTCGGGAAAGTGCTTTTTTTTTTTTTTCCTCTCTCCACCTCACCACCCCTCCTCTTGCAGGTGCCCGCAGCGCAAAGCGGCTCCTGGAAAGTTTTGTTTGCGTGCGTGCGGGCTGCGAGCGGCGGTGGCCCGGGATGCGGGGCCCGGGGCCCGGTTCTCCGCCGCTTCCCGCTGCACCGCGGCTGCCAGGGCTGGCGTAGGCGCCCCCTGGGAAAGCCGAGTGCGGGCATTAAACCCCCTCCCTCCTCCCCGCCGCCCTCCTCCGCCCCCTCCGTCCCTCCCTCTCCCCCTCCCTCCCTCCCTCCCTCCTTCCCTCCCTCCCTCCCTCCTTCCCTCCCTCCCTCCTTCCCTCTCCCCGGTGCGCGGCCATTGCAGTGACCCCGGCCGGCCAAGGATGATTACGAACACGCGGGGCTTCCTGTGGTCGGACCTGGAGACGCGGGCGCTGCTGGAGATCTGGGGCGAGGCGGACGTGCAGTCGGCGCTGGACGGCAACTTTCGGAACAGCCATGTGTACCGGGACGTGGCGTGCCGCCTGGCCGAGCTGGGCTTCGAGCGCACCCCCGAGCAGTGCCGCATCCGCATCAAGGGCCTCAAGCGGCAGTACTACCAGGCCCGGGACGGGCTGAAGAAGAACGGGCACGCCCGCAAGATATGCAAGTACTACGACGAGATGGACCGGATCCTGAGCTGCCGGGGGGGGCCCGAGGGCGCCCCCGAGCCGCTGGCCGCGCTGGCCGCGCCGCCCGAGGTTGTCCCGCCGCCTGCGGGGCCGCTCCCCGCGCCGCCCACGCCGGGCACGCCGCACAACAGCCGCGAGCTGGACGCCGAGCTGGACGAGGAAGCCGGGCCGGAGTCCCCCCGCGACAACTTCACCGAGGACTCCGGAGAGTGCTCTTCCTACGCCGACCACCCCATCAAGGTGGAGTGCCCGTCCTTCGCCATCCCCGTGCCGCCGGGCGATGGTGAGTAGCCGGCGGGCTCCCGGCGCCGGGTGTCCTCCCCTAAACCGCGGGCTCTCGCAGCGCGGCTGCCGGCGCTTCTCCTCAGCTAGCGCGCTTCGGTTGGCTTCTGCCTTACCCTCCTCCTTCCCGGCCCGTCCTCTGCGCTCCGAAATCCGCCCATGCCTCCCCCAGCCCTTGCACCTTGCGCGTCCCCGTGATCCGGGTAGCCCGGAAGGGGAGCGGGTGGCTGCTGGTGCTGTAAATGCTGCGCAGCGGGTAGAGGGAGATGCTGCGGACAGGGGCCCTAGGGAGTTTTTATCGGATTTATCACTGGGAAACCGATGGAAAACTAGCACAGAGGTTATCGAGACAAAGTGTCAGGTAGCGCTGTACATGAAAGTAAGCATCCTTCTCGATGGAGGATTTTCCCGTTCACTGCAGACTGTGTGCAGTTTTGCTAATCGGTATTAAAACGATGATGACGATAATACCTGAAAAATCTGCTTATTGTTGCAGATGGGTCAGAAACCTAGCGGAGAGCTTTTACTTAATAATTGCATGCGTTGTTTCAGAAACACTGCTTTTAACTTTAGTGGCCTTGTGGACAGAAGCAGCACTTCGATAAAGCCTGTCCTTTCCCTGCTCGATCTTTACCCTTCGTTCCGCATTTGTATTGTGGAGGTGCGGGGAAAGCGTTACTTGTTTGTTTTAAATCTAGATTAGTGTGGGGGGGTTAATACAAACATGAACTTGTCTTCAGAAGTTGACATCACTGAGGAATCAGCCAATTGGTTGACGTTTAACCAACGTTCTTTTTACACATAAACCCCATCAAAGAGTTGTTTACACTAATGTTCTTTTGAAATGCAAATCTAGAATGCCAACAGACTGAAACTCAATTTAGATTAATGTAATTACTTGCAATACACAAATGAGGCTATACTATTTAATAGCCTTCACTTAAACCTTTTTAGAAGATCAAAAAGACTCCTATTGTTGAACTTTAGTACTACGATAATTAAAAGATGCCTCTGTGATTTTTGTGTTACCTTTGCAACTTTTTGGAAGCTTGTCTTTTTGCTTTAGTACCCTGAAATAGAAGTGTCTGAAATAAGTTCACATTGAAAAAGTGAAACAACTTTGTAGTGCATTAGGTGCACATCTCGTAGGGAGATTTTTTGCTGCTTTTCTCTTAGAAAATTATTTTTCATCAGAAAAATAATTGTTTCTTTCCTTGCTTTAGGCTTTAAAGAAGTCAATGCTCCAACTATTACCCCACCCCTCAGTCAGCCCAAAAGATCAAAAAAGCGCCATACAAATTTAACATTGGATAAAATGATGGAAAAATTCTTGCAGCAGAGCATGGATACAGATGAGAAATTTTACAGATTTGAAGAGCAGAGGCTCAAAATTGAGGACAAGCGTCGGGAAGCTGAGCATGCTCGAGAACTCCAGATGTTACAGATGTTGGGACAGATGTTGGCAGGAATTTCTTCTACAGTATCACAAAGGTCACAATCTATACCAACAAGTCCACCTCGGAGAGCGAACCATCGTTCATATGCGGATAACTTTAATTATAATGCTATGACAGCAACACTTTCTCCACCGATAGGTACTTCCTTCTACAACATAAATAAAAGCTAGAGTTTTTTTTAATAATTCTATGTGAAAGCACTGGTAGTAAGCAGCTTTTGAAAATAAAAGCTAATTGGAATAATTTAATATTGTGATGAAGGTGTCTGTCTGATAAAAATGAAATTAAATCGTCATTTGTACCGTTGTACTGATTATTTAATACAGGTACATTAGTTACAACAAATTTTAATGAGCAAAGTCGTACCTTTCAAACACTGTAAACATTGGGAACTTCTTTCCATGTTCACATCTCTGTGAAGTTAGGAGAAGCTTTATATGTAAAAGGCAAGTAGCAGAGTTGTGAAAGCTACTAGAAATGTTAGGTACTTTGTAGGAGAAATTTTGCTGCTATTCTGCTTGAAGTTATCAAGCATAACCCAGTGTATGAAGTTAAGGCTGTGCGTATGTTTTTTCAGGGCTGGGAAAAATGGAGTTTTGCCTACACTGAAGTAAGTCAGATGTTACAATCTAGCTTCATTAAAATAAATTTCTTTACAACAAAATTCTGAATCTTACCAATTAATTAAATGTATTATTGTAGTAGGTGTTATAGAAGATGAAAATATTTGCTTGTTTTTCTTCAGCACCAGCTCCTTTATAAATTCTTTGGGAATCTGAATTTAGTTTAAAGAAAAAGGCAAAGCGGTAGCTCAGGAATTGGTATTTATGCACAGACTTTTCCTTCCTTACCTTATGTGTGAGCCAAAAGCTGGTCATTAGCAGACTGACTTCTTGGGATCTGTGGGTCTTTGGCATTTATCTTTATCATAGTCTTTTTCCACGTGGAGGTAGACTGCTTGGGCAGGAGGAAAGCAGGGATGCTCTCTAAGTGCTGGAACTAGTCAGGTTGGGGCTTGGTGGTTTGTACCCTGCCATGTGGAAATGAAACAAGTCTTATTCTGTTCTAATTCTGAATTTCACACTGCTTGGAAAGAAAAAAGCGTAGTTTGAAAAGAGAAAAAAAAAACAAATGACCCAGCCTCAGTGTTGAATAAAAATCTGGCATGCCAGATCCTAATGGGCATTCTCTGAGTCCTGAGGATCTTGGAGCCATTTCAGTTCTACATTACATACTGTGTTTTCTGGTAAAATGCATGGGAGACTGGGTGATTTGGTCTGTTGAGGGTTTAGGCTGGTAGATCTGGTTGTGTTTTTTCTTAGTGAATAGTTGGTCTGTAGCATTTCTTGGTGGCAGCAGACTTTCATAGATTAATTTCGGCATACAAATAGATTCAGTGTTTTAAATGTTTTGACTTTTAAATTAAAAGGACAACTGGAGGGCTTAAGAAAATCTCTTTGGAAATCATTTAAGGTGCTAGACTGGGGTGATGGTACCTACAAGACCTTACCATTACTTCTGAAAGGTTTTTCCTGAAACCTGAATTATCTGTAATGGCTTGAAACTAAAGTTCAGTTTTTCTTGCTGGATCATGTCAGTATACAGTCATGTTGCACTGTGCAGAAATGCATTATATTTATTTAACTGTAGCAAGAGCAACTCAGGATTCTAATCTTGTAATTGAAGAAGGTGTAACTAAGCATTTATAATGAAATGTGAACATAATGCTTCAGGCAAAACATCTTTTAAGGAATTAAGATTTCTTTTTATAGCTGAATATGCCTTAGTGATTCTGTAGGTAGAGTAGGGCTCTTTTAAGAATTGCTTTTTGCATAATTCTCTGTTTTCTCTCCATTTATTATGCAGTTGCTTTCTATTTACATATAAACAAAAAACAGAAACAAAGAAACAGAGGGCCTTCTTAACAACATTGCACTTTAGGGGTTACAACCTATATTATATTCTTGTGTGGTTGAAAACCAGCAGGTGTATGAAGTGTGATTTAAAGAAAATCATCTGCCCTATTTCCAGAGGAGATGAGCATTTTCTTCTCCTCTGGCTCACTGCAATGCTATTTTGGCTGCAATCCAAAACAGGTTGTGGTTTTGTTGTTTTTTTTTTTCTTTTTCTTTTAATTTATTTTCTTTCCTTTTTTTCCCCCTTTTTAATTTCGTCTTAGTAGGAGTGGGATGTCTGTATTATACAAGATTTTCAAAGCAAAAGATCAGCCGAAAGTATTTATCATTATTGAACACCAAAGAAATTTTATTACTGAAGATTAGCCTGTCTGGTTTAGGTTTAGATTCTGTGGAAGACAGAGAAAAAGATGCTTTTTCCTGATAGCACACAGATGTGGAGTTTTCTTGTTTATTACATTTTTTTCTCCATTATGATGCCCAACATTTCTGGAACAGTATTTCTTCTTTTTTTTTCTTTTTTTTTTCCTTCCTTTTTTTCCTCGTCTATATTTTGGAGTTGGGGGGTGGGGTTACTGAGTTTTATACAGCTGAAAATAAGGAATATTGTGGGAGTTATTTTCTACATAATTATGTTATACTGTATAGCATTTCCTTGAAAGCTTTTTAGAAGATCTGTAAAAAAGAAAGTAAGCATGACTATGGTCTAGGACGCTATTATTAACATTCAAATAAACCGCTCTTCTGAACAGAATTGTACTGTTAACGAGGAGCTTAGTTGAAATATAAGAACTTATTATTTTAGTGTATTTACTGCAATTTATAGTTAAACACATGGTTGAAAGAAGTACTGATCTTCACATTTGTCACATGTTAGGTAAATGTTTTAATTCTCTCTAGTTGTAATTGTTGAAATACTTTTACTTCTAAATTTTTGTAGCCTTTTGAAACAGTAATTTGATATGTAGCTTTGTGAGTGTGCAGTTGTATTAGTATGTGGTTTGACATGCAGTTTTGCATCAGAGATCTGGAGTTGTATTATAGCTAAAAATGATCTTTGTGTGATATTTGTGATGTTTGCATCTAGTGTGTTGGATTATAGTTTTGCAGAAAGACTTCCATTATGCTTTGTAACCGCCTACCAAAATAAAAAGGCAGTGAGATAGGCCCTGATTCTGCTAAGAGGTGAAAGTCTTTAAGGGGAAACGAAATATAAGGTAGGGTGTATGTTTAAATTTTGGTTTTAGTTGCTTTGTGCTTGCTCTGTGTCTGGATGTGTTCAGTCCTTGCCGAGTGTACCTATTTCAGTTGAGCTTAATTATGGAAGTGATTTCAGGCTGAACTAAGATGATATTTCTAGGTACAAAATGTTCATATAACTGTTCTGGGTTGTTGTTTCCTTCTCTATGTGAGCCCTAAATTAGGACTGTGAACAGTCAGTGAGAATATTCTCTGCATCAGACCCTAAATTCATTTTTAACATCATCCTCTTCCCTAGTTACTCACTGTTTTAAAGGCCTTTAAGTGATAAAGCATTTGGTTTTCAGACGTATGTCACTTTGTATATCTTGGTGTGATTTTATTAGTGTTAATGAGTGCTTAAAAGAAATGCTTGATGGTAGTTTAAGAAAGAACATACTTTAACACTTATTTTCTTCTTTTCAGTTATAGAGAGATCTTTTTCACTGCACAGAACACACTCTCTAAAGGATATGGAGAATATTTTTCAACTGGTGCGCAACGTTATCCCTCCTCTAACAGGGAAAAAGCATAAAGGTCAAGATGGTCGTATAGGCATTGTTGGAGGATGTCGAGAGTAAGTTAAATAGAAATTTGATTTTTGCTTCTCATAGAGTTTGAGGATATCGTAAGTACTTGTAGAACCCATTCAAACTCACATTTAAAACATGAGTATTTTCCGGGGAGCTTTACTAGTCCATCATCATGACCATGCATGCTTAGGAAAGAACATGTTTTCTTGCAGATGTGTTGCAAAATCTTGGTGCTGAATGTGAGTGGAACTTAAAATGCTATCTGTATCTATGTCTACCTTCTGTGTCTTTTTTGACCACTAAACTGTCTGCTTTCAGGATTGGTCTTTTTCCATTGCATGATGACGTTATAGAAAAAGTAGACTAGATTATGACAGTGGCACATCTGATTTTTTTTAATATATATTTTTGTACCTTGGGAACTGGGTCTCTTAAATTAGGAATAGAATATTTTCTTACTGTGCCCTTTTTATTTTGATAAATTGTGGCGTTTACTAGATTCTGTCAATAACTTGTTTTATGTACCAGAGTAATAAAAATAGCATGTTTCGGGGAAAAAAGAGATACAGCATAAATCAGCTAAGTGCTGTACTGACCTAGAAATAAAACAGGCTTTATATTCTTTGCCACAATACTTTGAATGAGCCACTACACCTTCCTTTTTTTTCATTTTCCCCTTTTGAAATAGGGACAACATCTTTTTCCTGTAAGAGAGATCTGCTGTTGGACGTCTGCCATTAATAAACATCCTATAAAGAGCAAAAAAGTGCTGTCTTATATCTGGGTTGAATAGCCAGGAGTTAAAACCTAATGGGCTAATAAGTTCTTACTTCTTGGTTGAAGTAAGCACTTCTGGAGGCTGGTACTGTTCATATCTCACTATTCAGTCTTTATAAAGAGAATTTAGGGCAACTGGAATCACAGTTTAGGCACTTTAGTTAAGCATCTAAAACCAGATGGGATTAATCCAGGTCACAGACCCCAGATTTAGCTTGCAAACAGTGCTTGGTGCTTGTTTTGTTTGTCTCTAAACTTTTACCTTGGTTACCTGAAAAAAAATTGCTGTTTTATGGCATGACCGTTGTAAATACTTCTATGAAAAATCAGGTGGCTAGGGTGAAATTCTGTGCCTTTGAAATCAGAGCAAGGTTTGAGATTGGCTTCAGTATTGCAGGATTTTTTTCTGTCTTTTACAACAAGCAGAAGGGAAAACAATTTTAAAAACTTGCTCTTGAATTTGGGATTTCATTATGGCAGATTGATTTCCAAATCATCGAATCTCATGACCATGTTTCCTAACCTAAATTTTATTTAATTCTAGGTACACTGGAGCACCATATTTTGCTGCAATTACAGCTCTCAAAGTGGTACGTGTTCTTCTATACCAGTCCAAAATGAACTTTTTCATCATTTCTGTTGGCTAGGTGCCATTTTTAAAAGCATTCATTCTCTGCTGCAGATGAACTTTGAGTTCTAAAAGGTCTTTTCTTGAACAAAGAAAATCCTGCATCCTGGATTTGTATAAATACTTTGTAAATATGTCATTCACTGTGTTTTCTTCCTCTGTGTAAGGTGAAGTTAGAAATATGTCAAAAAAAAAAATCAGAGACTTGGATAAGAAATTTCAAAATTTGATGAGATATTTTCCCCAAAAGTGAACAATAAAATAACTTCAGATTATTGTTTAAAGTTATGATTTGGTGCTGCAGTGATTTCCTCGGTAGTTTCTTCTGGACCTGATAAGTGCGTTGAATGAAGTAACTTTCTTTCAAAACTTAAACCGTTAGTCTAGAAGGATTCTTATTGCTGTAAATTTAAAGATTATTGGTTGAATTGAATGTAATTTTTAATAGCACATTTTATTTTCATTCTAATCTTCAGCAGAAGTATTTTCTAAGCTTCTTTTTCCTAGAAAGGTGAAGTTCCTTACTTTATTGACATATTAACTGGCTAAACATATTTATGCAGACTACGTAAATACAGTAGTGATTGTTCAAATGTAAACAAGTCACGCTTACATAATACGTCTGATTTTCAGTACTCCCTATAGAGTGTGTCAGTACTTCCAGTTCATTGTGTATGTTTTTCTTTTTGAAGATTTCTTTCAATAAGTGGGTAACCAACCCAGATATTTCCAACCACCTTCCCCCCAGGATGCAGTCCCTCAAAGATTTAAAATTAAATGATACTATTTAATCATGTTATTAGAAGATACCAAAGCCACTCAGCTTTCTGTTCACTATGTGCAAATATAGTGTCATACTAGGAGGTTTCTTACTGAAGTCGCTTGGTCTCAGATCATTACATCTGCACATAAAGAGTGATAGGATCAAATCTCAGCATTGCTTAGTACCTTGAATGTTAAATATATAGTAGTAAAGCAGAGGAGACACTTCCTTAGCCTTGGGAAATTTCAGTATGCACAACATAGGAGATCAGGTTTTCTGGTCACCGCTTGACATAATTTTTATGTGTATTTCTGATTTTTTGAGTTAATAACAGAAGGTTGAGACTCAACTCTTAATTAAGCTTTAATGTTTATTTAACTTAAGGGAGTGTTGTTGAAATTGTGCCTGCCTTTTATCTTGTATGGATTTGGCCCATTGAATGAAAATGGTAGGACTGGAAATATACTCATATTGCATAGCTATATTTTGCAAGTATGTTACAGTAGCATTATGGCTCTCTAATGTAGCTTGTCTCATGTTCATTTGTATTCTTTTGCCTTTCTTCTTATTGTACATGTGACATTTTAGTTGTTGTTCATCTGCAAATGAGAAACATTTCTCAAGTGAGCAAAAATTCAAGATTTATGTTTCCAGTCATCCTATCAGTGAGAAACAGAAAAAAGTTATATTGGAAGTTAGATGCCAAAAAAAATAATTCTCCAGAACATTTCATGGTAGTCTAAGCCAAAATAGAAAAAATAAGAAAGTTTGCTTTAACTGTTGAGAAGTAAGAATTCAGATGAATTATTTGTTGAGTAAACTTCGGAATGGTAAAGTTATTATTAAGTATAAATTTGATAATACTGTTTGCAAATTTTCTTTTTTAGGGTGCAGATTTATCCCATGTGTTTTGTACCAAAGATGCAGCAACAGTAATCAAATCATATAGTCCAGAGCTGATTGTTCATCCAGTTCTGTAAGTGACTTATGTTTTGTTTAAATGAGCTAATCAGGCTTACTAGTTTGAACATTTCAATCTGATAATTGATTAATTTATGTTATTTCTTTTTCTGAGTTACTGGATGGGTGAGCTATGGATTACAAAAACTTCAGGGTTTGTCCCTTCATTACAGTTAGATATTTAATACAGAACAATCAATTGTGAATTTTTTTTCATGACTATCAAAGTATGATTTCTAAAAAGCAAAGATATTGTTTCTGCTGCTTGCTGACATATGTTCTGTGATTGTAATGCATTTAAACTGTAAACAGTTGCAAAATCCAGAACTAAGAAACGCCAGAAGTCAGCATTTTGAAATTTGCATTTGAAAGGCAAGTGGAGTGTGTTCTCTTGATTCTTCAGTCCTACTTGTATTTAACAGTAGTGTGTCCTTTTTCCCCTCTTGCTAGTGTGTATATAGACACCTATGCAAAATAATTGGGCAAGAGAGATGCTGATTCTCTTTTTTTCTCCATGAGTATGTTGCTTTAGATACATACCTGTTCTTGGGAATAAATGGATGTTCCAAAGTGATATAAAATTCAGGTTTTATTAACAAGAAGATGAAAAGTTTAAAAAGCAACTATCTTCTTAATTGGGAAAATCAGTGTGCGGTTTTCTAAATTTGTGTTCTGAAATGTGTTACTGACTGACGAACTTTCACAGGATAAATTTGTCTCAATTAGGTGTTATGATGGTTTACAATGAGCACCGCAAATGAGAATTAAGATGTCTGCCTTAGGTATATGCCCCTGAGCTTAGTTTGCACCAGTGCATGTCAATGTCTGTTGGTGTACATAGCAAAGCTGTGATTAAGGTAAAAAAGGCATAATTTAAAATCATGTTTGTCAGATACTGCTGTCAGGAAGGATTTATGCCAGTAGAAATAATTTGGTGTCTGAGAAAAAGAATATGATCTTCCTTATGGGGATGCCTGTGGTAGGAAGCCATAAGTTTATTACATTCTAAAGGCGCATTTCATTCCTGTCGCTGTAGAGAGTGGTGCTTAGAAAGAAGACAGTTAAACAGGGTTGTCTTTTGTTGGTTGCTTTTCCCCCACCCCTCACCTCCTCCAAAGATAGAAGAAACCCATAACTTTATGGATTTTAGACAAGATAAAAATGATGTTTGAAAGCAAGGGAAAAATACACGGATAGAGGGTTTTTACCAGTATGACTGTGTTCGCCTCTAAAATCCTAAAGGCACATCTTCAGTCGATGTTCTGTCTGATACCATATGATAACAAATGCAATGGAGAATCCTAATGGCAGTATTAGCATTTAACTTGTGTTGTCTTGATGTATGACACTCAGGATTCAGCATATGGTTGTCTTGTATGATAAAGAGTTGACTTTGCCTTGGGAAAAGCATTTTTTGTGTACAGAGGGGTTCTTGATGTCTGGTAATGGAAAAGGTTAATAGGAGAAACAAAAGCAGCATAGAGAAAAATGGAGGTGCCAAAAGTGTAAACAGTAAATTCTATGTTGTTGGAGAACTTTTGATTTTAAACTTCATCTCTGTCTATAAATTTCTCCAGATGCACAAAGTACAGTGAATCTAGAGATTTCCATATGCATGTATCTTTAAGTCTGCAACTCAATATTTAATACTTTTATTAAAACTGATTAATTTCACACAGACAGCTGGGCTAATTGCATGATGCAGTGGATCTGTAAATATTGTTTACATGACATTCAAAATGAAAAAATGCAAACTATGAGTGTTTAGATTTTATTTGTTCAATTTTCCTCATATTTTATCTCTTCTGCTTCACTTGAGGGAAAGAGAAAATGGTTAGAAAGAAAAAAATCTTGACTGACTCTATTGAGCCCAGATTATATTTAAATTTACACTAACAGCCTATTTTTCTTGTAAGGTCCTTTTGTCTTCAGTGTCACACTTTTCATATGATCTTTTATATGTTGTGGAGCCGTTCAAGTTCTGCAGGCACGGCCGGCTGCTCTTGATTCAGAGCCTGATCTCTTAAACTGTCTTTGTACTTTCTCCCGGGCTACACTTCACGCATGGAAGAACCTCCGGGAAAAACCCACCAAGCAGCTATGTCATTGTTTTCTTTTGTGTCTCTCCTTAAAACTTTGCTTTGTTATGATTTCTCCATGACCCTTCAGAATAACTAGGTAGCTGTTGTACCACTCTCTTATTATGCTAATCATAATTATGGTCCTGTGTACTCAACTCACTGTTTGAACAGTTTGGCATTTTGCCAGGGTTCAGCTGCCATTTTGTGCTGCCAGGAGCCTGACATTTTATCATCTCTGTGACTGAGCTGCCACTACGTTTCTCTACTGCCTTCACCTCACAGGGAACCCTCTCAAGGAAAGAACATGCTCTTTTTTTGCCCTTGTCTAAATGCAAGGGCTTTTCTGTCTTGTTAGAGGTGCTGTGGTGGATGGCCAGCATGACTAGTGAAGGTATATGAGAGCTAGAAGTTGGACTAGAGTGTTTCAAGTCCTTGGCAAATGTGTATCACTTCAAGGATGTTCAAGGAATGGTGTGTGAGAATGACTGAGTAGGATTACAGAGGAGGGTTATGAAAACGAACATCCATCTTACAGCACTGACAGGGGAATTCCTTGTGACCCCAGCTGTAAACCATCCTGGGATTCCTTTTGGTGTAACAACCTATGCTGAGGACACCCATAACGCAACTTTCTCTGAGGTTTTTGTCCTTCAGTTCATTCTTTGTGAGTAAATGTGGGAGAGCTGGGACTACACATGGCAGCTTGGGATCTGGAAAGATGAAGTTTCAGCACCTAGCTCTATGTGTCCTCACCACTTGAGTGGAATAATGATAGCTGGGTGTTTAGGGGCCACAAACAGTCAATATTATCAATAGTAACTTTTCCTTTTTATTCAGAGATTCTGTCACATGCATTATGGCCCCTTCCACAATGGCCTGGTAGTATTCAAAAACTGACCAGCTAACCAGTTCAGTATTTTTGCTGTCTGACTTTTTGCTTTCGTGTAGAGAAGTGTGTATCGTAGTGAAAAGTGAAAAGTGTGTATGGTAGAAGTTGAGGCCTTTTGAGTAGTGGAATAAATAGTCTTAGTGACAGCTGCCTTCCTTGGTCTTGTCACTGCTACTCCCGGTTTGAGCTACATTTTTCTGTTTTCTCAGCTAACATGTTCCTACTGTAAATGCTACACAGTTACAGACAAGGTAAAACTTAGCTTTGGCATTTTATTAAGTTTTACTGCAGGTGTCTCCTGTATGGATTTTTGCTGTAGGTGTGTGTGTACTTTCTTCATGCATTAGTGTTGGGAACTTTGTAGAGAAGAGTTTTCAGAGGCTTTTTTTATTTCCCTAGTTAATTCCCTGGCTCAGGTCAGGTTGAATAGACTTCTTGGATACTTGTGTTGGGTTGGCTTATCCTGTCTTGATAGGCAAGTGATCACAGAACTAAATGAGCTGTATGAACCCAGCTGGTTATATTTTAAAAGAAGATTGAATAAACCTATTGTGCTAGATTCCCCTCTTGCAAGGGCATTTTGTAATTAATTGTCCAGAGATTTTCTTCTGTATAAGCCAGGAGACATCCACATTCTACTGAGTAGGCCTCTTGTAACCTGGTTATCAGACACTTAGTAAAATCAACAGTCTATACTGCTTGATCTCTGGCAGTTTATCAGAGAAGTAGAATGAGATGTCAGGGCCCAAAGAAGTTAGCTAATTTTTCCACTATTCACAAAAATGTCATCCTTGAACTAGGTATGGATTTAGAACTAATACCTTCCTCACAGCTGGTTGTATACATGGGCCTGTATGGACTAGGAAAGATTGCCAGAATTACTGGAAGTCTTATAGTTAATTGCAGAGTTTGAATTTTGGCTTGGATTTTGAAAGATTATTCTTTTGAGTTAAAAATAATTGGGGAGAAAATTCTCATGAGGCTGGACTATATGTTGAGGCCAGTCACCACTAATGAAGAAACTTAATGAAGATGGGGTTTCGGGAACATATTTTACCTAATTTTATTGAATTTTGTCTACGTTTTGACAATTTGATAAAGTCATGAATCATGAATAGTGAGCTCCTGATAAGTTATTTGAATACTTTTAACCAATGGCAAGTCTCTTAAAGAGAGCTTAGGAAAAATCTTAAGATTAGTAGCACTTTATAATTCATTATGTGGAGAGGAAGCTCATATCTTTCAGTTGTGTTAGCTAAGGCTAGCTATTAAACAATACTTCTGTGTAACGATGGGACTCATGCCTCTTTTGGATCAGCTGCTGGAAAAAGTCCAGGAATTCATGTCACCAAGGAAAGTCAAGGGGAAAGTCAAGGAGAAAGCAGAGATTGCTTCAATTATCAAAAAGATGTCTCCCAAGTGACTTGGCTGCTGGATCCTCATTATACCTGCGGAGAAGATGAAGGAAGGCATAAACTTTGTGATCTTTCTCCCAAGCCCCATTTAAACAGCAGCTTAGCTAGGAATCACATTAAAAAGTTTTTGTATTTTTTTCTTAGGTTCTCAGGGAGAGATAAAGTTCAGTTTGTGTATGCTGAGTCAGAGATTTTATATATTTAAACTGTGTCCTGTCCTGTTGTGCAGTGCTGTGGCCAAAACTTACTTATGGACCTATTTCTTGTGTCCAGCTTTCTTGGCGAATAGCTGCTGCTTCTTTACTGTGTGTTGCAGAGTGAATAAAAGCTGGGAGGTATATTCAACCCATACTAGAGTCCCTTTCCTCCCTGTTGTTGCAGAAGTCCCATGTGATACTAACAGAGATTTTGTCACCTCCTCAAAATGTGAGAAGTAGCCAAAGGTTTTTAGCATCACTGCAGGGAGTGCTGCTGGTCTTGCTGCTTCCTGGTGTGTCAGAAGGAGATGTACTCTGATTAGATCCTGACCAAATTCATCCTTCTGAATGCTTGCCATACTGCTGTGATTTGAAACCAGGATTAAATTTCTTTGGTGTTTAGACTTTCTTGAATGTTCAACCTTTCTTGAGTT